GGTATAAACTCTGTTTTTTACATAGTTACTCAGTAATTACCTTGTTACTGTTCTTTTAAATTTTTGGGGGGGGTACGCACCCACCTTTCTATGTTCCTTTTTACTTCGTCATTGACATATGTTTGATAATCTTTCCGAGATGTGTCCATGTCTTTTCGTAGTCCAATTCGATTTCTAAATCTACCTCATGTAGTGTAATAACCAACAAGGATCCAAATAAGCGTTTGGCATTTGTTTGTGCTTTTTTTGATAAGGTATGAAAAACATTTTTTGGCATATAAATCTGAGCAACATATGACAATGGAATCAATTGTGGTAAATGTGCTTCGAATACTTGATGTAAATCTATTGATAATCATCGCCTCAGAATTTGAACTAAATTGACATCCATTTGTTTAAACCGGTTAAAGCCATTAATTCTAATGCTGCAGCGTAATCACAACCAGCTATAAAACAATGTAATTTTGATGAATGAAACTGGTTAATTCTTGCTTGTGCCGATCCAGGATCTCGGAGCCACTGCCGAAATTTATAGGCATTACCTTTCTCACCAAATGTTGTTGCTGCTTGTACGGTATAGTTGGCATCCGGATGTAACATCAATTCTCGTTTCAATACAATACAAATGTCACCATAGTAATAACCAGTTTGGGGACCCAAAACAGCAAATATATGGTTGTTTGTGCCCATACTTACATCAACTACATATCCAATACCCGTCGGATTTGTCTTCAGTTCTATTGATGCTTTTATTATCTCCATAACATACAAATATATTTCAGCGATTTCATTGGGTTTGATCTTTAACTCTTTTAAAATCTTTTCTTTCATTTGCATTGTATAGACCAAATGTTCATCTGTATTATCATCACCATTTAATTTACATTTCTTTGTATTTTTGGTTTGAACAGTAGTTGTGTTCTTATTTGTGCTAAATTCAGTAAACTGTCATCACACATTTTTATTTGATTAAATTCTGTTTTTACAATTGCTTGTATATAATCTTTGACATGATTATGAACAACTGGGCCATATGGATCGAGGATTTGTCGTACATGAGTATGTTGTGCAATAGCTGATACGAGAGGCGGCGGAACGTTCCCAAATGGGGTAAGGCTCGCGTAAGATAGCAGCAAATTTAGAAAGTTTTTCGAGAAAGTGCAGTTTTCCGTAATAAAAGTTTCCGTAGCAAGAACAAGCAAGCAAACAAGGAAATACTTTTTTGAGTTCAATTCGTCAAAATAAAATGTCAGCGTGAGCTCCATGAATCCAAGCTGTTTTTACTCAGGCTCCAAAAATAGTGACGTTCCTAGTAAAATGGCCAAAACACGGATAAAGTTTGCGCTAGACTAATCAAAGTAAATTTGTTTGAAAAACGTGGGATATCTATATGATTGAAGGATCACTACGCTATTTTGAACAAAAGACAATTTATATTTAGACGTTTCTTAGCGTTTCTGATGCCAAAAGTTAACATTTTATCATGGTCCAGTCCTCTGTCCTCACTGCACATATCTCATGTTAGTCTCTGCGTTTAAGATCACTGGAAAAAAGCAGAGTTTAATACACGCAGCCAAACGTCTTTTGGTCTTTTATTCAAATAAATGAGGCCTTTCTGTCAATGTAGCCAAGTATTATCTAAATAACATAGTGCTAAATTCAAAATTCCACATCAAAACGAGGTAAGGCTCAGTCTAGTGGTTCCGCCGCCTCAGCTGATACGACGAATTCGGAATTTTGTAATCGATTCATGTGTGTTTTACTCATGACATGACCGTGTACTAACACAGATTCAAATATTGTCGAGTTACAACGATAAACGGGTTGTAATGAATTAATCCAGTTCAGTATGTCTTGACCAACACGAATATCTGACCAATTTTTATGCCAGGTGTTTTCGACATATTTCTTCAATGTCTGTTAGATTCCAAATTGATTTTGAATAAAATTACATTTTTTATTCTAACCAAAACATCTGGCTACAGAAGATATATTAGAGGATGTATTATGTCGATATTTTATTAGATGCTGTTTATCGTAACTGCCATTACAGATATATTTTGAATTATGACATGCTAATCGTATATCACGTACATTTGAATGTGAACAGAAATTGAGATGATCTTCGTCGGTAGATAATGTACATTGCTCGAATGGTTTTGGACACATTTTTCGTGCAGTATGGATAGATGAATGCAAATGTTGGACACTTGTATCCTTGCAATTTCTGCCCCATGGACAAACATGTGAATATCTAAGACAATGTTCTTCTAATGCTTGTAATTCATCATGATCTTGTGTTTGATCTTTCTGTAGGTATTTGGAGTACTGTTGACGTGAAAATGGTGTTAGTGAACAAGGCTGTATGAATGGATGGTTTTCGTTATTAATATGTTTTTCATCCTGATAGTTGAAACAGTTTCCACCATACGGACAATTAATTTTATTGTGTCGAAATCTAGTGCAATGTTCCTGTATTTTTGCTAAATGATCACGACAGTTTGGACCCTGTTCACAGAGTGGCAAATGACGATATTTCTGTAAATGAACAGGTTTCATATCGATACAATTAGCTTCCTCATCGCAAAAATCCGGATGTTCAAATTCAAATAAATGTTTGTCATTTTGATCACCACATTCTCTACTTAATGGACAATCTTGTCGATCTATGAAAAAATTTATATGGACACCATCCGTTAATTGTTTACAAGTTTTACCCAAAAGACATAATGATGGGTGTGAATAGGTACGACAATGTTGTAGATGCCTAATATTTCTACAAATGGCCCAATGATTACATGGTACTTGTTTTCCTAAAATAAAATCATCGATCATCAGTTGATCGTTGTTCTTTTTGTCAATAATTATGCATGGACCAATTGTCATATTTATGGAATAATGTGATGGAGGCAGTACAGTCATATCGTTTAACGTTTGTTTAAATGGGCTATAGTTACCCACTGGATTAATTACATTGCCGGTATTATGATCATCGATAATAGCAAACACAATTTGTTTAAAATAACCGGCATATTGCTCAATAACGGTCTTAAATAATGCTGCTACATGTTCTGGTGGATTTTTGAACGCTCCACAATCCAATGCAGATAATACCAGAGAGTCGTGTCCATTTGGCAACGGCAAAAAGATTTTCGATTTTTTTTCTTGTACCAATCGCAAATTTAGCAACAAGGCGGTTATTCTGTAATTCAGGTTCTCTGTATCCAGCTAATGCGAGTAAAATAAATGAATAGACAATAATGACGTAATGAAAAAGCACAAATGTGCTCACGTACTAACAGAAACGTTTCCCATTGGTTTCGGTAAATGTTCATAACCATTAGTTTCGGTATTATAATACCGAAACTAATGTTATGATGTCAGATGTTACCAAAGATGGATTGCTCCTACACTCCCAAAAAACGTTAACGAAAAACTCTTTCGGGAGCCATCTTGACTTAGAACGATTTTGCTTTGCCACATAAAATATAAGACTTTGTTTCAAGCTGAATTTCAATAGAGTATTGTGTTTTGAAAAAT